TGCCCCACCCAGTCCCTCTCCCCCCCCCCCCCCGCATTTTCCCCTTACCTCTGACAAGCGCCACACATGGGCTAAACTCTCTCAATTTTTCTATGGTAAGTGTGGAGAAGGCTCCACCATTATTCGCTATGACGTGCGCTCGATAAATGGAGCTCAAGGCTCTACTCCCAAAGGTGCTGGTAGCGACCCAGCGTGTAGAGAGATGGCATGCACTCTGACTGGAATGTACCCAGTGGTTGCCCCCATTATGGGTATCCGAGCGTGTCAAACTGCGACACCTCACATGGCTAACTGACAAAACAACAGGGGGGGAGGGGGACAATGGAAGACAGAGGGAAGACAGGCGGGAGGGGAAAAGGATGAGTGAGAGAGGTTTTTGGTTGCACGTAGGTGTGATATGTGTAGGAGGGTATTGAAGGTCAATTATATAACACAGAGTCGGCGCGAGGTAGGTGAGGTGAAGTACTTATCAATCCAGGGAGACCAAGTATTTTCAAATTTGCTCATATGGTCATTGAGTTGAGCTGTTCTTTTTTCCTGTGACATAACCCAGTTGATGTGGTTAGTTACACTGTGGATACTGAGGGGGCTTTGTGAGCCAATTTTTAGCAATTTCCCTCTTTGCAGATGTGCATATATGCATGGAGAGATTAAATTGTTTTTACGGAGGAGGCCTTCAGGCTTACAGTAAAGCAATGCAAGAAATGGGTCTTTGGTGAGGGGTTCTGAGAACAGTGACGATAGGAGGGCGAACACATCATCCCAAACGGACGAGGCTTGAGGGCAGCTCCACCATATGTGGAAAAGGGTGCCTGGTTCCGGCCAGCCACGAAAGCAGTTAGGGGAGCAATCCGGGTTATAGATAACCACTCTGGCTGGTACCATGTATCAACGCATGAGGACCTTGTAGTTAATTTCCGACATGCTTGCACAGCGCGAGCTGGACTTAGTATTTGCCCAAGATTGTTGCCAGATGTCCTCATCAATGGGGGGACTCTAGGTCCTTTTCCCATTGGAGGACATAGGAGGGAGGAGGCGTATCTGTGGGGGAGATCAGTGCGGCTTAGAGAAGTGAGATGAGTCCCGGGGTGTGTGGGTTGGTGTGGCAAACTCTCTCAAATGGAGAGAGCCGTAAGGGATTGGGTTGCTGTGGTGTGAAAGCAGTAACAAAATGTTTGATCTGGAGGTACCTGAAGATTTCCCTACCTGGGAGTTGGGTATGCTCTTGGAGGTATGGGAAGGATTTAATTCCTGCGTCGGTTCTTAGCTGTCGTAGGGTAGTACGTAATTATTTTTTTATCAATTTTTTTTCACCAGCTTTATTGGTATCACACAGAAGCTAACAAGTCACTGTGTGATAGCATTTGGAGGTGACAGGTTCTCTTTATTGAACCTGTCACCTCCAATACAGGAGTTCTAGCACAGCACTGTACTGGAACTCCTGTGACAGGTGAGTGAGGAAGAGCACAGCTCTCCCCTCTCACTGTCTACTCGGAGCAGCAGGATTACTTTTAACCCTGCTGCTCTGCCCACCACTCTCCATCCTGAAGACGGCGGCGGCGAGGATGGAGCCGGGAGGACGCAGAATGTAGAGAGGTAGGTGCAGGGGAGGGAGGGGGATGGCGGGGGGAGGACGGACCGGCAGTCTAATTACAAGTGATCTCAGCGACATTGGCGAGATTACTTGTAAAGAAACAAGTGGTTTCCCCCATTCTACATTTAGCCCGGCTTGTGCAAAGCAGAGCTAAATGTAGAAAATAAATTACCGCCCGTCGCCCGGAACTTCATGTGACTTCAAACCTGTGTCGCCCCTCTGTTCAGTGCCGCACCGAGGCCGGGCCTCAGCGGCCTTGCCGGGAATCCGGCCCTGCAAGTAACAGCTGGGGTAATCAATACTTGCTGTTAGGAGTACACTGGTTCACAGGCAAATGCAATCCTGGAGTCTGTGTCCTGGCTGTAGAAGCTAGTATAGAAGCAGTGTTGTGTTGTGAAGCACAAGAAGTCCCAGTAGGATCAGGAGGGTATACAGGCTCAGGAGAGTCCCCTGGGGACAGCCTATCATTCAGGATGGAGAGCGGGTCAGCAGGGAGCTTTGTCCGGCGTCCGCACTCATTGCAGGAACAACAGACAAGTGAACCCTTGCTGCTTAAGCTGTGGAGGAGGAGGGCGGAGTGGCGTGATGTCGACAGACCGGGGGCGGAGCTACCCTCCGTGTCCGAGACACCGGAGAGGTAGGTAGAGCAGATCTATTACAGAGTGGTGGCGAGTAAAACCACCCTAATGACTAAAATTGATACTTTAGCTCTGGAATGTGAGCTCATTCATCAGGACCTGAACAAAATCCGCTGTCGCCTTGCTTCTTTGGAGATTTCCCCACAATTCCTGTTCTGCTGACCTTTTACCACAGAAAGTGTGTCACGTACCTTGGTATGAGCCTGAAGTGACGAGGTAGGTCTTCCCTTGCTGCTCTCGTCTGAGCCCCACTGGAGATGGAACAGTAGTTGTAGAGATAGAGAGGGGCACGAGTGCCTGTTGCCAGTGGTGTATTTAGGTTTGGGGCTGCCCTAGGCAAGACAAAACTAGGGCACCCCC